AAATCTACTCTTAAAACAAAACAATGATCAAATGATAATAAAAAACGGGGTGGGTGTGGGTGTGGGTGTAGTGTGTGATGCTGCTTTCCCCACCCACACCCACACCCACATCCACACCCACACCCACATCCACACCCACACACCCACACCCACCCCACACCCACCCACACCCTCACCCACACCCACACCCACACCCACACCCACACCCACACCCTTGCAATAGATTTACGTGATCAAGTGTTCGCTTTTTAATGGTGAAAATCGCAGCTCCATAGCTGTTTCTGTTCCAGAGTTATTCAACTCGCAATCACTCGCCTTCTATTTTGAAATGAATAGTAGCATCTTCGTTCAATCGATGTAAACGATGTCTGGTTCTATGTTGGAACGGTGTCTTATTGTTTTTTTTTGTTAGTTTTACAAATAACACTTTTAAAACAACAAATTTTCTTATCATACTATTTGACATTATCATCATTTTTATGACCTACACTTGTGTGACAAACTCGTAAACACTACAGTTGCCTTCGTATGTTCTATATTGTTTGTCTGAGTTCCTGTCTAATCGAATCTCTGTTTGTTTCCTTTGATACGTGACTACTGTCTTCCATAAGATTCACATGCTTCTTGCTTATTAGCACGACATGTTTGTCAGTCGCGAAATAACGAGAAGAATTGTTCTTGATGATGACGTTCTATCGTTATCTTGAAAAAGTTCACTCAGAAAATAAAGAAGTCTATTGAGTAGCGAACGATATATAGTGCTTAATAAAGTGACTTACCTTGTAATAGACGATAATGAAATAGAAGAAAGCCACCAAAAAATTATTATTTATCGGCTCGTCGACTAACAACTGTGAAGTTATTCCAATTGGAAAGATTTTCCTTCTGTTGAGTATTAATCAAAAATAGTTGTATTGAATACACTTCAACTATTTTATTATAATAACTTTCCTACTATATGTACGTCGATGATGAATATCTAGGATATAATAATATTATGTTATAGAAAAGGAAAAAATCACGACATATAGAAGAACGCGTAAAAGTGATAGAAGAAAATAGCTGATTATGTTACTTCTTAACACAAAAGAAAAACGAGTGGGCGACAGAAAAACCATGATTCATTAGCGATTTTTTTTTCATTTAATACCAGAAAACACAAATTGAGTGATGTATTTTATCGGTCGATTTAACATACAAGGGTGTAATTCAGCATTCAAAGTAGAGGGGGGGGGGGGGGGGAGCGTAGCATAATCGAGTGTCACAAATGGAGCGTTACGTAGGCGAATTTCAAAAACAGGAAGCGTTACACCTCCTACAATGTTGTGAGACTTTGTTGATGAGTAATTCATTCACAAGACTATAGTTAACGATAATCCAAGATGTGCTTGTTGTTTTTAAGCAATCGCCAAAATAAACATGATTCATTTTTAATTAGACACAAATTCTATGTACTTTACTTAAACTATGTTCCCACTAATACCTTATGCATGCATAATTTGTTATGCACAATTAATATTCGTAGTATGTATATGATTCTAATCATGATCAACTCTCTATGCATGCATAAATGTGCGTAGGCATTAGTAGTAGAAGTACACTGTGAATAATGAAGCAAGAATTCGATGAATGCTCTTACATCACTGGAATGACGAATGCACATTGAATTGAGCTTATCATTGTCAGTATCGAAGTCAAAATTGATTTTTTTTGTCAGAAGTTGATAGCTGAGAAAGACAACAAAAAGTTAAAATAGTTATAACTTCCGTTATAATTATCAATCATTTTAACTCGATTAATTTTTCAAATTTTTGAGTCGATTTAATTAAGTTGAAATAACGTACGATGCAAAAGTAATGGCACAAAATATTGATCCATATTTTTCATCGATAGAAGGGAACGAAAACAAACTTTTTTTTACCAAATGATAGAGCTTCTTCTGCTCTTCCAGATTGTATATAATTTATTGTTTCTACCATGTCTATGAATGAAACAACATGAGAAAAAAGAGGTATACCATCGAAAACATTTTGCACCTTTTTTTTATAAAAAAGCAGCAGAAAATGTCGACCTTTATATTTCTTCAATAAACACATTTCGAATAGGAAATTTTCTCTTCTTTCGAATGATATATAATTTTTTTTTTCATTTGCATTCCTCAATGAAATAAAACAAGAAAAATAGGAAAACACTCACAATAAATTTGGAGTTTTTTCATGAATTTGTCAAAAACATCTTCTAGATGGCAGTTAATCATAGTTAACTCTGCATCCACAAGACAGTTTCAAAAAGTTCATAAACATGTGAGTAACTGCTATCTTGCAAGGGCTTTTTAATGAGTACAAAATGAATCAAATTATCATCGTCTACTATAGTATTTTGACATGCTCATACAAAAATTGTAAAATTAATGCACGAGTGTTTCCCTCTCTTTCTTGTTTCATTTTCTTTTCGAAACGTGTTTATTGAAGAAATATAAAGGTCGATATTTTCTGCTGCTTTTTTATGAAAAGTGCAAAATGTTTTCGATGATATACTTCTTTTGATTTATTCTTATTTGAAATAATTATTTGACACCTGAAATGTCAACTGAGAGATAATCTGAATAAAAACGGACGGTTTTTATATTAGACTTCCTATTTTAAGATTTCTTAATATCTAAATTATCGACACCGTAGACTCGTGTTCACTTCTAAATACCTCATAATTATATCTTCTAATATAAGAGAGAGCCTACCAGAGGAACAAGTGATATGACTGGAAAAGAAAAATTGATTTTGGATCTAATTATCTTTAAACATGAACTTTAAAGTAGAATTTTGACTTTACTTAAAATTCAATCAAGAAAAATTAGTTTAATTTCAAATTTTCAATTTATCACTTGCAAAAAAACCAGACATTGCAGTTTTTTCAACATTTTAATAAAAGAATGTTCAATTCAACATGCTTTTATTTTATTCATATATATATATATATATACATATGTATGAAGAATGTACAATAATAAGATCTTCTAACATAATTAATGTATCATTAGAACCAGATTTGAATTAAATTAAAAGAACATTGTAATCGATAAAGTCGATTAGGTGGATATTGATGTAGTTGTCGTCGGATTAAATGTGGAAAACAAGGTGTCTCAGAGAAAGTCAAATTTAAAAAGTTGATATGAAGAGAAACAAGTTGTTGCAAATGATCAGCAAGAAAATAAATAAGATTAGCAATACGTTTTGTATATTTGTTTTTCCCGTCAGTAGCACGAGATAGATTTAATTTCCATTCATGATATGAATAACAAATATTAAACGAAAGTTTCTTCAAGTTAGGTAATCGATTCGCCAATAATGTGCAAAAACGTTGAGCATTTTGTAATGTTAATGTTACATCGTAGATGTCAAGTGATTTTATCTAATTAATAGAAAATTTGATTTATCTCAGAAAAATGAAAAATTATTTTAGTTCAATAATAAAATATCAATTAAAATAGAATTTACACACAAAATAAAAAAATAATTTCATTAAGATTTTTCTTTTAAGATAGAAATTCTTACTTGGTAATAGACACGAGTTCCAAGATTATCAGTATTAAGTAATATTGCACGAGGTAATATTCCTCTATCATCATGTATTTGTAGTGTATGTACATTATAAGCCAAACATAATATTGACTCTAATCTAACTGAAGTAATAACTTCACCACCATCGACTGAAATTTTTGTTAATAATGACCACGGAACTAATGATGATATAAAACTTCTACAATTGCCAAGATCTGAAAGACGATTGGTCTTCTTATAACCACTCAGAACTAACTCATTAGCACGTGAAAATAAATCTATTGCATTAATCGACATTTGACAAGACCTAAATAGGAAAAAGAATAAAGATTGTTATTAATTTTTCATAAAAATAAATATTTTCTTCTACATACTTTTCAAGATCTCTAGAAAACATAAATGATGAAAGGATTGTGTCATTATATGGTAACGTATATACCATAAAACGATGATACATATCACTTAGATCAAACTTATCACATTCTTGAATAACTACTCTCGGTCGTTGTTGATGAGTAAATGGAACTTTAAAAAATGAATTAAAAATTATTTTTTCTTTCAAATCGTTCTGAACATATAATAATAGATTAAGATTATAAGTTGCCATTGGTTTGAGACGATCGATACATACTTGTTGAATAATGTCACCTGATATAATTAATGGACCAGAAATTAATGTAAATGCTTCTAATTTTAATGACAAATGACAAAGTTGACCAAACACAGATGATAGAAGCCCAATAGTTCGATGAAAACTTATTCTATTCACACAATGTATAAATAGACGAGATAGATATCGAAGAAGATGAGCATCAATAGTAGTAGGCATACTAAAAAGATTCATATAACTAATACTTTTTATAAATGACAATATGCTATTTACGAGATTATCTCATTTGCATCATTCTCATTAATATATTGATCTTGTATGCCAACAGAAAGATTCTCAATAAATGGTATACATAATAGTAAACGTTGGAGAAAGTATGACGTGTGTATACCAATAGTCAATGTACGAAGATGATTTGCATTCAATAGATTTGGTAATGTCATTTGATATCCTAATGAATAGTTTTTTATTTGATTGACATTCCCATTATCATGATTAAATGAAAGTCGACAAATTCTTAGAAGAGGCAGTTGCGAACACACCTTTTATTAAATAAATAAAAAAATCGAATTTCATAGTGAATAGAAGCAATAGTTGTTTTCTTACCTTAACTAGATAAACTCCTTCAATTTGAAGGGAATTGAACGGATTAGATAATGTTACATCAACCAATAAAGTATGTAATTGTTTTATTAAATGATTGCGCAGTAATTTATCAAATTCATGTGGTTTAATGTCGATTAAATGTAGACGTTGAAGTAATATTGTCTGATGATACTGAAGAGAAGATGAAATGAGTGACCATCCACCAATAGTGTTAGTCAATGTTAGACGTAATGAAACAACGCGACTTCCTATTAATTTCAAGACATTTTGACAATGATCATTGAACATCAATAATGACATTGTTGAATCACCTATATGAATGTGCCATAAATATTCATTTATTATCATATTTGATAAACGTTTAGTCAATGAAAAAAATGATCGAAGAACATCAACTGGAGATAAATAATCAAAAATTCCATAAAGAATATCATCAGGTAAAATTTCGAATGAACTGACACTCATGTTTTTATGTTCGTTTCAATTGTACATTCGTATTGAGTTATCCATACATATATATATTGATGCAAACAATAACATACTTTCTGTCTATTTCATCTGACGAACTATTGTTTTTGGAATTTCTTTCTTTCATTCTAAATCAATTAATTTCAACAAAAGAAAAGAGGATAGAAGACTGTTGCCATCCAATGCATATTAATAGAACGTTATTTGTTTGTTTTATCTACAGATATGTGACAGGCAACATTGAGATTTAGACAAAATTAAACATAAGATCACAAGACTTGAGGATGTGGGTGTGGGTACGGATGAAAAAGAAGACATATTCATATCCACATCCAACATTGTTGTATCAATATGTTGACAACCATATAAATCCTAGCAGCGATATTTAGTACCACTCTTTGTGTGCTACTAATTACTTACACATTTTCGAAAATAAATAATTTTTTGCAGCATTCGACCCAAAACACTTTGCTGGTTCCGAATATGAAAGAAGGATGTAGGTGTGGATAAGTGAGATGTAGTTGAAGTGAAATTTTTGTCATGTTGTTTCATTTATAGACATGGTAGAAACAATAAATTATATACAAACTGGAAGAGCAGAAGAAGCTCTATCTTTTGATAAAAAAAAAAGTTTGTTTCAGTTCCCTTCTATCGATGAAAAATATGGATCAATATTTTGTACCATTACTTTTGCATCGTACGTTAGTAAATTATTTCGATTTAATTGACATGTTTGATAAAATAAATTAAAATTTATGTATTTCAATTTATATTTATATCAGTAATAATGCATTCAATACTGATTACAATTCCAGAATTCGAAGATAGATTATTGTTTCTTATTGGAGATTTGAATATGTTTGACATACTGATTGATTATTAAAAAAAATAGCATATGCTCTTACTCAAAGATGTAAGTATTGATTCGTCTGATATTTTAAAAAACACCCTTTATTTCATACTGAGCATGCACGTGGAAATGTCAGATGATTTGTTAGTGCTTTAGTTAATAAAAGTTGGAACCATGAATCTATGTACTTTCATGAGATGGAACATACGATACTAATATACTAAACTTAATTTTTCAAGGATGTTGATATCTTACATATGTATTTCACTGATTCAAGTTATCCTTTGCATAGAATCGTTGATGATTGAAATTGGCAAAGAGTATTAATTGTGTCTTGATATAGTTAAAAAGAGAATGATATGCAAAATGAATGAAGATTACAACTTCCTTATGTTTGTTCATTGGGGTGTAGCTTATCGTAACTTTATATTGTGTATTGATCATTTTTTCTCAATAACTTTCATTTCCACTGATTAAGTGATTCATTCCAATTTCTTTATTTTTGTCAAACTAAAGCGTGATGAATACTAGGATTATGTTCTCTTCTTTAATATTGTTGTCATATTTTTCTTAGACTGCAACAACAAGTATTTATCTGCTATGCAACTCTTTCTGATTTGCTTATATATATACATCAAATATGACATTACATCAACGATCAGAAGCATTTCAAATTGATCTACTAGTAGGTTGGCATTAGTTTTCCGCAAGACCTCAATAATTACTGTTATTTTTTAAAGATTTCAACCATCTTGTAATCAAGTGAAGAAATAGAATTTTGTCTTAATGCTTAGGTTATAATCGAAAATTTTCGAATAAAAATGCAGCATCTTGTACATTTGTTAACATCTTCTGTAATTATTTATCGCAAAGATTATATGAAGTTCAAAATCGATTTCAAATAATATAAACTGTTGTTCCCAGTCTCTAGATGATGATAAGGCAACAGTTTTCACTTCTGCATTTGACAAGATTTCTAGACAACTGATTTTTTGAAATCGAATTTCGCTGAAAATTTTACCATGAAGTCTTTGTTAAAAGAATTGAATCAGAAAAGTAGCCATTGTAGAGAATGAAAGGGATGTATGTCCCGTTTTGCTCGCATGAATCGAAAAATTGAAACTTTTTTTTAATGATTGATTGACCAATTTAACCATGAATAGTGTCCTTCTATCGCATTGTGATTATGCAAATCGACATCAAAGATGGATACATCATGAACGAGAAAAAAAATGTTTCTATTCAATTGTTTTTTTTTTTAATTATTATTTATTTAAAGAATAAATCAATTATACACGAGCCAAGTAAACTTTGTCTTCATATTGAAAATCTTTCAAATAATGATTAAGTTAAATTAAGAAAATGTGAACATTATTCAACAACTTATTTAAATTACTTCCTCTCGATACATTTCAACCGTCCAAAAAGAAAAAACAGAATGAATTGATAAATATTCCATCATTTTTCTATTGTATCATTATGTTAATAACAGTACTGTTAATATTTCGTGATAATAGATTTTCATTAAGGTCCCCCCCTCAGAAACCAACTTTGTTATTTTTCATCCGATTTCAACCAAAATTTCAAAGAATGTTAGTCTTTGCTAGAATAGATTATGGTTAAAATGTCTCCCGAAATCTGCAAGCCATTCACGAGTTATAGTCAATTCATTGGTCAAAAATACCCTTTACGCGGGCAAGGTTTTCAACATGAGGATACTAGCTAAGCATGTCGGCGTGGTTTTTGAATTGTAGAGTGCCCCTAGGGCTAGGTCGTAATAGAGCCCGATTTTTTAATTTCCCTTTGTTTGGTTTTTAAAAAAACATTTTCGAAAAATTCTCAAATTCGTGGCCAAAAAACTGCTAATTAAAATCAAAGATCTAAGTTTTTTATTTAAACAAAGGAGAAATTCAAAAATCTGGCTCTATTACGACCTAGTACCAAGTGTCTGCTCTATAACAAAAAAACATTACCACTTTTATATTGAGTCGTTATTGAGTAAGGTTTGCCCGTGTAAACGGTATGCTCGAAAAAATTGATTTTGAGAAAAACGGAGAATAAGTTTTTAAAAACCTTATTTTTCTCAATAGGGGGGTTCAGAAAAACCTATGTAATATCCTTAAATCTCATCATAAAATCAATCAACTATAATGTATTCGAGAGTAGACACTTTGCTCTATCTAATGAGTTATAAATCACAAAATCGATAAATTTGACTAAAATTGACTTTTCTGAGAGGGAAGCCCCCTTAAATGATGTCCTTGCTTCTTTTTGTTACTACTTATAATTAAATAAAAATACTATCAATATTTTTATCACAACCGAAAAAGATAATCCGAACCTAGACATGTTATTTAGTCCTTTTTTTTTCTTATCTTTGTCAATGCACTTAAATGTACTGATAAATTTCCAGGTGTTTGTTTTCAATTCTTAGTAAAGTTCATTGTCATTCTTTTAATAATATCAATCAGATATAACAATCTTCATTAAACCATAGAAGAATATTTTCATCATTAATATATAATCTTTTATTTATTAACATTTACAATTTTATTGTCAAACTACTAATTCAAGATTTTTATTATCTTTCTTTCATATTAAAATTGAATATAAATGTAAAATTAATTATTTCTTTTGTTTTTTCATAAACAGTAAATAATAATGCATAGGTTTTTTTTTTTTTTTTTTTTTGTTTGATAATAATATGTATGTACTAGATACATAATAAAAGGAAAAGGGCATACCCATTGCACACATTTCGAAAGACACAAAGCAAAAAGACAAAAAGAAAAACTCATCGTTCAATGAATAACATCAACAAATAATTAGTTCTTTATAAAGAAAAACAAAACAAAAAATCGAACGATAAAACATTAAAAGAAAACTTTCAAGAATAGAAATTAAATTTTAGAAAGATATATGTATTTTTTTTTTATATATTGAGCATCATCACGAAATTGAGAAAAGTGATGTCACCGGAAAAATTGAACAAAATAAGAAATAAGAAAAGCGATTAAAAACAAAACAAAAAAAAATTTATGAATTTATATTTGATGATAATATTAGTGGATGGTCAGTTAGTGTTTGACGATGTTCAATTTTATCATCTTCAATTAATTCTTCATCATAATCTTCATCTATCGAACTATTTGTTGTACTATCATTTTCTACATTTATTTTTGATACACTTGTTAAAGGAATTCTAAAATTAAAGATTTATCTTATTATTTTAATTATTAAAATGATTAAAATATAAGTTAAGAAAATTCACACCCAAACACACAGATTTAATATCTACCATATTTCTTTTACTGTTCTTATTACATAAGTTTCACAGAGTCTATTACTATATGTGTATATATATACATATAAATGATTAATAATAACAAATGAATATTAAACTTACTTAGTCGTCGTATTAATACTCTCTAATGGCGATGAATTTGATCGATTACGTATAATTTCTTCCAATGTAGTTGGATTTAAAAAATGACTTTGTAATGATAAACTAAATAATTGTACAAATTTGGTTAAAAAATGATTATGTATTTCAAAACAATAAAAAAAAAACCGAATACTGGTGATCATTCTTTTGAACATTCGTTTTTTTTTAGGTTCTCCTGATTTGACCTTAGAGGATACCTAAAGAGCTTCAGACATCGCGGAGTCAAATGACAATGCTTATATTCAGTTTCAAAATGATCTAAGACTATTGTTTCAGTATTTTTCAAATTTTAAACATTTTTCTATTCTAAAGCATAAAACTCGAAGTTCTGTAAGTGGAAGCTAATATTACCCTTATTCGAAGCTCTTTTGATGCCTTCCAAGCAGAGATAGGATCGATTCGATTCACTGTATTCTCGTTTTAAATCTTAAAAAAGCCTAAACCGATCTCATTTTTGCTTGTAAGATCAATTTTCTGTAATCGCAGAGAGATCCTTGAATGGGAGTTGATCTAATGAGAAGACTTTTTCTTCGCTAAGAACTCATCTGATTAGTCAATTAGATTTCGATGGTTTCCGCAGTGTCTTCATCGTTTCTTTGAAAAATTATTGAAGAAAACAACCACCGACATTCTTTTTTTTTTTACAATGGATAATACTTATAATTAAACAAACTTTTTTTTTCCTTACTTTCCATTACTTGAATCAATAGAATATGGTGATAGCACAGGTGGACCTGGTGGTTGTGTGGATATAATAACTTGTGGTGGTGTGGATATAATAACTTGTGGTGGTGGATTAATTAACTGAGATTGAATTAGCGGTGGTGGCGGTGGTGCTGGACGATATTTCTAGAAGAACAAAAAAAATAATTTGTAAATGATTAAGTTTAATCAAAATGATACGACATACCATAGATGAACGACGTTTTTCAGATTCTTTACTTGCTGTTGGAAGTGTTCGATTTTGTGTTGTATTTATTTCATTTGAAGTTGAATTAATAAGTGATGTGTTAGAATTTATTGGATTTGAAGGTATAGATGCTGGTGATGGTGATGATATAGAACCTGATCGACCAGTAAGTACACCAAATATTTTTGACAAACCTCGTTTTTTTGTAGATGATACAGGTGATGTACGACCAGAATTTGAATTTGAATTTGAATTTGTATTATCATTTGTTGTATTAATAAAACTATCACTTCGTGAATTAAAGTGTTGAGTTCCATGAGAATTATTATTTTCAATTTCTGTTATTGTATCTAAAGTTTGTCCAATAGATAAATTTTGTAAAAGTTTTTTAAGTTCTTCATGTTTTATTCGTTGTCTTTGTTCAGCTACACGAAAGCGTAAACTTGGTGATTCAATAGCAGCATTTATTGAATTAAGTAATAATGTAAGAAAATAATCACGAAATGATTGATCACATTGATATATTCCACCGGGTGGATCAATTATTGATGTAAAATCATTACGATGCCAAACACCAATCTATAAATAAATTATATTAAAAAAAAAAGAATATCATCTTTTTTTTTTTTTTACTTTATAATAAAGATTTTCATCAATTATACAAGGTTGTACTGTAATATAGATTTGTGTAACTTTTCCCGAAATAAAATCTGGTGTAAATTCTGCATCTTGTTCTTGAAAAACAATACAAACAAATGCATTTCCAACGAGACTTTTTCGTTCAATACATTGTCCATTTGCTTTTGTTGATGGTATCATTGGTGCTATATTAAACATTATTTCATGATTTTTATATTTTGTATAATATGAAGAGTCTCCATGCAAATCATCTTTTATATCAAGATCACCACGATATTTATTAAAACCTTTTAAACGTACACGATCAGCTAATAAATTTAAAAAATTTGACATATCATCTGATACATCATCATTACTGAATATATCATATTCATTTGTTTGATCTACACCTTGATAAATAACACCAATTTTACAATTTTGTCTTTCATCATTTAATTTATCAAATGAATAAATTTTTTCATTTGCCTATTATAATTATTATAAAATAAAAAAAAAAAAAAAATAATTTAGTAATATTATATAAATCTATTTCATCTCACCTACTCACTTTTGGATCACCAACAGCTTTACATGTATGTATTGCTGATAAATGTGCTTTATTAAATAATATTTGAAGAATATTATCTTCATTTGTTCCATCAACCATTACAGATACATCATAATTACGACTTGGAATACTAGGAAAACCAAAATTAATTAAGATTTGAAAAGATATAATCAAAAAATAAAAATTCATAATGTTTTAAAATTCTGGTTTTATAATTTCGATTACAGTTCAAAAACAAAAAAAAGGTTAGAATTGTAATTGATGAGATCATCTCTCGTATAAGTAAATATATAAGACTATCTGTATTCATAGGACATCGATTTTTTTTTTATTCGCCATATGCAATGAAAATAAACTGAAAGAACTTTCATAATAAGCATTTAATAATGTGTCAGATTGCATAGAAAATGATTAGTAAATTATTTTGTCAAGGTCAAGAGTTGGATAAATAAAATCTTGACTTGACATATGGTTATTATTTTTTTTTTGTTTTATCTTAACATTATTCTTATTATTTTACAAATTTGATGACAAAGTCAGACAAATTCTCAAAATATATTTTCATTGTCTAATTCTGATTAAAAATGACATTAGACAAAAAAAAAAAAAGCTCAGCACGATATAAATTTAATCTTATTATATATTTTCTGTCAGCGAAAAAAAAAAATAATTAATTATTATCAATCAAATTATTGACTTCAAGTTGGATTTCCACCTACAATAAATTAATAATTTAAAAACTATTAAATTCTTATTAATTCAATCAATGAATGTCATAATTTTTTTCTTTTTGCTTATTATAAAATAATTTACCTTGAAATAATAGAGTATATTATTATTATATTTGATTTCAATCATTTTGTTCTCATACATTTCTAATTAATACTTTTTTTTTTATATATTTATAAAAATAAAAAAAAATTCTTATACATTTTTAGAATATCTATTTTTATATTATTAATTATACACTTATTATATCTACTACAAAACTCAAGTAGATCATTAATTTTATATATATGTTTAATTATTAAAGTTAATCATTTGTTTTTTTTCTTCATTATGTCATATTGTTCTCTTAACGAAATTATTCATTACAATGATATTTATCTCGTTATTTCAATGTCATATAAACATACCGAATAATAGCTCGAGCTTGACAATATGTATTCGTATCCATTGAATATAATGTATTATCTGATAGAATTGATTTGTTATTAAAACATCGAAGTGATGCAACAAATGGACCTTCTTGTTCAAATCCACCATAATAATTTGTATGAAACTAATTAGAAAAATTTCATATAAAATTGTGTTGCGTTTTCTCTTTTTTTTTTTTTTGTAATATCGTAAATTAACTTACATATTCAAAAAATTGTTCACGATAAACTTCTGCAATACATAAGGGTGTTTGTAATTCTATTGTAAGTTTTTCAGCTGATCGTGGTTCATATTGATTTACACCCAATGTAAATTGTGATGATATAGATGACATAGATGATGTTGAATCTTCATAGAAAGATGATGATAAACGATCATTACTTATTGATAAATTTGTTCGTAAATTATTCGTAGGTATATTCAATGATTTCTATTTAATAAAAAAAGAAAAAAAAAAATTTATTATTACACCTCTTTCAATACTTGTTCTTCTTGGAGGTTGAATATTTTTTGTATTATTGACATTTTCAATGAAAGCAATCGTATAGATCAAATGACATGATAGACAAAGTAATCTTCTTTTTTTTTTTTATTATTTTCTATTTCATATCAACAAAGCGCATTGAGAAAGGATAAGAAAGAAAAACACAAAAAAAAAAGAGAACGTGTAAGTTAAAGATTGTATCGTTTTTATAAAACAATAATTTTGTTAAAAGAGCTTTTTTTTTTATTTTAAGTCAAATAGTTATTGATTTATTGTAAAAGAATATAGAAGAACAAAAAAAAAACGTTTATTGTTCTTACTGTTAATTGATGATTTGAATCAAAAGATACATCATCAAAATGATTTTTAATTTTTTTACGATGAAATGATACAGCAATTTTAACTATTGTAAATAACATATTTTTTTTTAAAAGACTACTTATAAATAAATTATGTTTTTATCGTATATTCATCTTTCTTATATATATATATCTACACATGATATGAGATTGGGTAATAAATGAGAAGACAAAAAAAATTGCCTATCAAGCATGACAAAACATTTAACTCACTGTTGTAAAAGGTTGTTCAGATTTCATTGTCATCATATCGTTGTACGGTAGTGAATAAGTGTTGGTAAAAGTATTAACACTTGTATTTGTGTCGTCTCTAGAAGTGAAAATTTTTCATAGTAACAAAAAAAATAATGAGTAAGAGCCGGAATATACACACAAACACACATATACACCTACACTTTACACATACGTTAGTTACAATGCACAACAATTAACTGCATCTGACTCTCGACTACTGATAAGAGAAAAAAAAACGAGAAAAAAAGTTGTTAGTTTTCTGATGAAAATGACGTTATTTTAACAACGACATCCTTATCACTATTTATCATCATCATCATCATCATCTGCTTTTTATACCCATATTAACGTTAACTTACTTTATTGTATTTTTATGTTGATGTTTTTTCGAACGAAAAGGATATGGTAATAAAAAACTTAAATTAATTTGAGGAGTTGAATTACGTCGTTCAGTATTCGTTCCGTGAGTTTGTTGTAATAAAGGTGGTTTTAATTCACTAAATCTTCTATTATTTTTATTATTTACTTGTTTATATGCATTATATGGTACTGATGATAAATCTGTAAGTAAATCAGTAGATGTTTCTTCTGAAATTGACATTGTTCGACTTTTTGAAAATGAATGATTATGACAATCTTTTACTGAATGTCTTGAATATTGATAATTATCTGGTTGAGATAATGATGATTTTAATGTTTTTTTACAATGACTTGATGTTGGTGTCGCATTAATCGACATAATGAAATTAAATAAGATTTTCTATAAAAAAAAAAAACACTTCCTGTAAAATATTTCTGAAAGATAAATAAAAGATTAAATCTAGTTCTTTATTTTATAGAAAAAGAAGAAAAGAAAATCAAGAGAAAAATGTGTTAACAATAAATAATTTTTCTTAGATATATATATATATCCTAGAAACACTTTCTTTTTATGTGTTCTTCGTATGTCTATGAAAAAGAAAAGATATTAATAGATTTTGAACAAATCGCGTGTATACAGAGAGAATTCTCTAAATGACTTTCATTTTCCTCATCACAACAAAAAAAAAAAATTTTTTTTACACATTTCAACATTTGCTATTAACAGATAATTTTGTATTTACTATTTATTCATTAGGCAAACATTTATATATATATATATATATGAGTGCTACTAATATTTTTCTAATTATTATTTTAGCATAAAAATATTTATAAGAAAATCTAAATCATTTTTCTTACTTTTCTTAAAAGAAAAAGTTTACCAATAATATGTTTAATATATCTAATACTCTATTCTCATATTTCTTACCTTTTGCAAAAAAAAAAGAAGAAGAAAAAACAAAAGTAAAGCATATATATTGATGAATTTAGTTCTACTTAAATATTTGCTTATGAATCTTTTATAACATATGCATACTATAAATTTTATGTTCTGCTTGACTGATTTTTTTTTCCTCTTTTCATTATACATATATGACTAAGTAAATATGACTAAGTAATTAAAAATAGTAGATTACACATATTAGGAGTGCATACGTTAGTTAGGTGTTTTACATGAAAGAAATCAAAAGACAAAGCAAAAAAAAAATATGTGATATTCTATCTCATTGTTAATGTTGTTAGTGACACAACACGAGTATGCGAGAAAATAGGCGATGGAATATCGTCATTCAATTGGATGTTATTTTAAGCATTTGTTATAGGTAATATCGACGGTTATCTTAATTTTTGATCAAACATAAATATCTATTTGTGTATTTCATCATTATTTTTTTCTTTCCAACTATAAGTCATACTTAATTATTAAGATAGATGAAATTGATTATCATACAAAGTTACTCTATCTGATGTAAATGCATGTGAGAGTTATAGAATAGTTTGAAACTAAAAGAAAATTTATAATATCTAAAAAACGAATGATTCTTACTTATATAATGTTCGACTTTCTATGTATGTATAGATGATGAGAAAATGAATTGTGTGTTCGATTTGATCAGAATTTAAAAAACACCAAAGAAACACTTTTGCTCTCCTTTCTAAAAACATTCTAATTGCGTTGTTCTTTCTTCAACAATTTTTTTTCTCTGTCACTTGTTCATGGTTTTTTTTTATTTACATTAATTGTCAAGAACACCTAAGAAGAAAAAAAATGAAGCGGTACAAACGAACTTGAAGAATATTGATTTGTTGAAAGAATCCTGTGATCGTTTGTCTAGTTTCTCATTCTGTTATTGATTCTTTTCAAGCTGTCACATCTAAAATGAGACACACATAAAAAAAAACAAAGAAGAAAAAAAAGGAAAGAGTGAAGTGTCTTCCTTTACAAAAAAAAAACAAAAAAAGGAAATCGAATTAGACACATGTCGTATTTTAAGATGAATTTTATTTATCATAACAACAGTATGATTTAGACAAGAGGAAATTAAATATCTCACTTGCAATTTCGCCTTTTTTTTTTTTTTTTTGCAAAAAATCATCAACACAATTCTCTGTTTATAATTGCTATGTAGTCGATTTCATGACCTTCACTTTTTATACTACATGTAAATATAACCTTTAATCATCTTGATGAACTTTTGATTTTTTTATCATCATTATCAAATAAAATAATAACATACGCAAGTCAAAGAAATAAAAAAAAAAAAAAAGAACGTATGCATGAATCTTTTCAATTGCAATATACAAACTATTTCGAACATTTTACATGCATCCATTCATATCAAAATTATTATGTAAATGAAATATATTGTATTTTATGATTAAGTTTAATATCTATTCTATTAAATGTGTGGGAAGAATATTGACGTTTATCGGTTTTTTTTTTACGTTCATGATTTTATATGAATTTTAGAAAAATTAATCAAAGTAAAAAAAAGAAATACAAACGAACAGTTGAATTGAATAGATCGAATACTATATCAGATTTTCGAGCTATTATATTCAATTAGAGTCTGTTGGATTGGTCGACCGAAGAAGTCATGCTCTAAAATTGGAAGCCAATAATAACTTGATTATTATAAGATTAGTAACAGAATACAAATAATCGTCAAAAGATATCTTGTATCTTTAGAACGACTATTAGATTCAGACTAAGATTAAAAGTAAAGTTCAAATTCGGATACAGAAATTTCTGATTAAATATACTTTACGTTCAATACGCATTAATAATCTTCAATACAAAAAAAAACCCAAGTATTAATTAAATATGTCCTATAAGATTAATATGAAAAATGACTATTATACTATAATATAGACTGATGTCTGACGATAGAATCTCTCTAGGTGTTAAATTGCTTTTTCAACCAAGACGATGTTGATTTAATGAATAATAGAAAATTCTTGAATGATTTGATTTTCCGAGCCTTCATTCTTGAGATATCGAAATTTTACTCAATTTTTTTTTTCAACAAAAAGCTATGGTCTACGTTCGAGTTTCGATTAAAAAATTTGCATGAACAAAGTTCTTAACAAGATTAGTTCATTGAATTAAGCTATACCTTTTTTTTGTAATATCTCCTAATCAAAGATACAAAAAAAAAATATTCAAAACTGTAGTCATATATTTATATCAAAATCTTATATACGAACAAAAATAAGACCCTTTTTCTCTTTCTCTTGTATTACCTGTCATTGTAAAGGTAACCGACCCGCCTATATTTATATATATATATATACGTATTATATTTTATTTACGTCTTATTTTTTATTTTGTGGCACAATTACCCAAATTGAGGATATTGAAAGAGCACAAACAGTAATACAACGAAGAAAAATATTCTATTTAATACTTTTCGATTTTAGACTAAAGGTATGTCTTTTGTTTTTTGAAAGCCGATAACCTTCATAAATGATCACCCTACTCTATTATCAATGATTAATGATGATGTCGTTTTGAATCAGAACAGCAATACTACACAAATTTCTCACTCGATTGTTAAATCTATTCACTCATCGTATGATTGTATATCATAATTACGCGAAGCTAGTATACTATGTACATGTAGAATTCGAATAGTCGAACGAAAAAAAACAAAAAAACTTTGAATGAGATTATCGCTCCGGTTCAAAACTGTATCATCATCAATTATTGATAATAGAGTGGATGACCATTTGTAAAGCTTATCGACTTTCAAAAAACAAAAGACATATTTAAGCATACTTCTATTTAATGACTGAAACATGTTAAATAGGATATTTTTCATCGTTATATTGCTGCTGTTTTTTTTTCTCTCAATGGGTAATTTTTGACATAAATATAAAAAATATCACATCAATAAAATATATTACATGTATATAAAAATATCGTAGACTCTGGCACCTATATAGAATGACCTATAAATCTATATATAATAATCCAAGCGAAAAAAAAACTTATTTTTGTCTGTGAAAGACTCGATAAAAAAAATTAAAACTTACACAATCCAACTAATTTGATTAAGAAAGTCGAAAATCGATTATTTTTTTTTCTTAAAAAAAAAAGAAACTCAATAAAATTTTCAATATCTCAACAATGAAAGTTCGAAAAGTCAAACCAAGGTAGTTTTCTTTTTTTTTCTATTAATCATCAAATAGAATATCATTTCGATGGAAAAAATGATTTGACACACCTGGAGTGGTTTCCACGTGATAATGAATATCATATCTAGTCATGATTATTCACAGCATAAATAATAAAAAAAAATAATCGAGAAATGATATTTTTTATTTTTCAATCGTAAATAACGATAATGAAGATTTTAAAAATTGAATTTTTATATCGAACATATTTTGTCTCATAACTTCAATAGAAATGACGGCAATAAATGGTTATAGTAGAATTACAATTCTCAGAGCTATTGATTGATATACTTATAAAATTATCTGAAAAAGTTAGTCTTGTAAAATAGATCGGTTTTTTTTCCTACCTAAAAAAATATGCGTATAAATGATTTAATTATTTTCATAATTGATTCTGATTGGTAGATTAATTTCATTAAATACAAAATCAATACGAGATATTCAGTTGATATAGAGAAAAAAAAGATATTTTAATACCTGTTAATATTTTTTCTACGCCATTATGTATATATTATCACTTATTGCGTCGAAGTTAAATCATACAATTGCATATGGATCCAGGTGTGTGTGGGCTTTTTTCCTATTCACACTCCTACGTAAGAAAAAAATGGATCTTGGGTTAAGTGCATTCAAATCATATGAAATTTTTACGATATGTTGTGACTGTAGTGTAGATACTACCTTCAGATATTCAGCTGTACATTAGGACGTTTGAGAGAGATATTCAACAAACAATGGTCAAAGATAGTTCATTTAGTAAGAGACAATTCTTTGTAAGCTCTCATTTTATACATTTGTCTTTTTTTTATTTGAAAGAGTATGCTATACTAATGCTCCTGACGAAGTCCTTCTTCTAAATTCTTATTAAGGTGCGAAGTATAGCGTTTATGTGGTTCTTCGCGAGTTTTTTTTCTTTTCAATACGGTGCGAAACACAATATTTATGTAGTCCTTCTTGAGTGTTTCTTTACTTTCACTTTCACGGCGTATATATATAAAAACTTGTCATTTTATGATCGTATGATCTCGAGGACGGAAAGTCATAAAGTGCTCGTTGAAACACGAAGTGAAAGTATTTCCCTCCAGGATGTTTCGTTGGTCAGTAAATCGCGTCCAAAAAAGGCAAATTTTTGAGGACTTTGTATTTTTTCAATGTTGAGATAGCTAAAATGAAAACAGGAACAGAAATTAGACGCTACTTTGTTTGCTCATATGTAAAACAGGTGTGAATACAGTTGATGATAGATAACGAATCATACAGATAATTAAACGATCAATCATTATCGTTCTATGGAAACATGTCCACATGCGTTTATAGAGTTTTCGTAGTGATAAATTTTATCATGGCTACTATTCAACGTGGTCTTAACTGTTATCAGCTGATTGACAGAAACGTCTTAGCTCGGTAGAACGTGAACAACTCGATCAGAGACATCAGTCGGGATTGATCTCAGATTCAATTTTTTGTTTTTATCAGATATCGTTTTCATGAAATATCGAGATTCGTGCTCAGAACTTCGATTTTTTTTTAAAGTTTCGACATAATTAAAACACAAGTTAGGCGCCACTCTCTTTGCTCATGTATGAAATAGCTGTAAGCACAGCTGATGACAGATAATGAATCATATAGATAATTAATCGATCAATCAACAATGTTCTTTAGAAAGATGTTGATACACGTTGATAAAGTCTTTATAGTGATGAATTTTACAATGGCTACTGTTCAGCTTGCGTCAGATTTTGATCAGCTGATTGATGGAATGGCCATTTATGTGATACTGGAAACTTGAATTCAAGTATTCAACGATTCAAAGTTTAGCTTCTCAAGTATTCTGCGGATATTCAGTGGGGAAGCGCGTTTCCCCACCTAACACACCTTTTCTTTCAGTGTCGCGGCGTGGGGCGCGAAGCGTTCCTCGAAGAGCCGCGATCCATGAATGTCTCTGTGTACACCATTATTCCTACTCCGTGCTGCACAGTAGCTCAAGCTTCTTACATACTTCTTGTAGCATCCTAGATAATGTCTGAAGCATCTCAACCAAAACCTATAGTATTCTAGAGAATGCTTGTAGCATCCTAGTTGGTGGTTGCAGCATCATAGGGGATGCCTGTAGCATACCAGACAATACCTGTCGGTGTTAGATAATTCTGGTGGCATTTCAGGAGTTGACTAATTGAGTACTTGAATAGCTGATTAGTTGAATACTTAAATAGTTGATACTTGAATAGTTGACCTGATAGTTGTATACTTAAATTCAACTTTCAAGTTTGACACTACTAATTTTATTTTTAATACAATGCATTAAGTAATTGAAAATTGAAATGCAAAACGTAGCCATTTCATCTGCTTCATCCATTAGTTAAGTTTTCAACAAAAACAGTTCCCATCGAAATTTTATTATTATGGTACCAATTGAATAGGGATGAAATAGAACTTCGTTTTCTCTATCACTTCATAAAAAAGAAAATTTTCTCAAGCCTTCTATATGAAAATAAGGTATCTCCGTCAATATTTTTGCGTAGCCTAAATATTATTAAGTTCTATTGCGTACTGCTGAGATGTCAATAGAGGGCGCGCCACCTCTACCGCATTCTACAATAGTCACGGGAAAGGTGGTATCCGCTAGTGACATTAATAAAATTTGATAATCTATACACCTTTAGATAGAGAAAATCTACTAACCTACATATATTCCGTTTGTGCATCGAAAGCTTATAATCATCTTTTAATCAATCGGGTCCGAAAAGTTTGGACCCGACAAGTCTCAATTGATAGAGTCAGACTTTTCTTGAGAGTGTAGGCACTTCAGCTTTACATATGAATATACACAAAAGTTTAATTTATATATATTTAATGAGTAGCAACACAGATTCATAATGTGATATTAGAGTGTAAATCCAAGGATAACCAAATAGAATATTACTATTTTAATTTGTCTGTTACTTCTTATTAGAACTGTGGTTTCTTTTATTTTGAAGTTATATAGAAATAAATATATGCGTAAATTTTTTCTACAAAATCTCAATATAAATAAAAGAAAAACCACAATGAATAAGTGGAGTATGAAAAACAAAAACAAAAGAAGAAGAAATATAATTAAACACTACCAATAGTAACAAAATGAAAGAAATAGAAAAAAACAAATAAACAACAATGATAACAATTTTTTTTTTGTTCGCGTAAAAACACAAAACTTCATTGATCACTGTCTCAATGTTTTATTCGATGATTAAATAAAACCATTATTAACTAAAATATAAATAATATTCAATAAAATAAATTAATAGAACATTCAAGTTTTTGTTTGTTTGTTTTTTTTCGAAAAAATAAATGTTAGTATAGCTTTCTTAATAATAGACAACAGACACTAAAATAAATAATGTATTAGCAATGTTATAAATCATGCATTAGTTTTCTTTAGCTTTCAGGTATTTATTCATAAAAATAAGAAGATTCTAAGATAATTTCATTTAATAGTCTTTCAAAATTAAAAGTTAATATTGTAATATTTGCTGATCCATGTAAACAAAGAAATAATAAACTCTTCGCTCAATTTTTCTTTTGTACTATAATATTACAGTATAAAATATCTTACAGATAGTTTTGAATTTTTTTTTCGAAAATTGCATTGTCTGACTTTTTTTTTTTAATATGAAAAATATATAAAGGTTCGAAGCTCAAAACCAGCGATTTAGCTTTTAAGACTGATTCTACCTCTAAAGAATCTATGGTAAAGATTTCAGCTTGATCGATTGTATAATCTCATTTCATTCGTCAATATAAAGCTTTTTTATATAATGAAAATACAAAGTAGTATTTAAGTAAAGTCTATTCATGACCCACATAATACGTTTTCTTTTTTAACGACTAGTACTACGACGACGACGAAAAATTTTTTTAAATATATTTCCTATAGACAAACAAAAAAGACTTGGGTTACTTTTTTTTTAAATTCAATTTTTGATTAGAATTTTTTTTATACCTGGACTTTTTGATTTATTTGAGTGATATCTATTAAGTGTAGATGATCGAACTGTTTTTGATGATGAATTATCATTATTATCTTTGGTTTCATTTATTGTAGTATTTGAATGATCATTAATATTATTTAATTCAGATATTTTCATATTCAATCTAAATATTTATATATTTGAAAATTTTTCATATCAAAAAACAAAAAATTCATAAAATATACGTTTGAGATATTAATTCAGATGGAATTATTTTTCTTGGTGATCGATGTCCAGTATTACTTAAATCTAATCGATTCATATCTTCAATTATTGATGGAGCAACATAAGTAAAACCCTAAGATTAAACAAATAGAATCTTATTTTCAAAGTTTTTTGATAGAGCATCCATGAAGGAATTGAGGCACTGGGATCAAAATCTAGATTTTTGATTTTTTATGTGCATTTGGAAAGTCGTAGTCTAAAACCGTCAAACTCAAATCTTAAGCTTATTTGATTGTACTATAGTAAATTTAGCCAATACCAACTTACTATCAAAAAAGAGTCAAAAATCGTACCATAAATGTTCGTTTGGATTATGCTTCAACAGTACGAAAAGTTTTTCCATGCTAAAAGATAGAGCATCAATTGCTGAAAAAAATATGCTATTTGAATTATTACAGCTAATCTGTGTTACTGAGTTTTTGTAGTCTAATATGAATGAGAAATGTCACAATTTACAAAAGAAACAAGACTTTTTTTTAGCGATTTTCATTGGTAAGACATGACTACAAGACAAAATAAATCAGCGTCAAAAACTACATCGAATCAAATAAATTCTAGATAAATTTCTTTCCTGAGAAAAATCAGCTGTGGTTTCTCACAGCTGTATCCTTATCCTGTGGTCCCCAGAGATCAGTTTTTCATAGAAAAAAAAATTATCTAAAATCTATTTGATTCGATGTAGTTTTTGATGCTGATTTATTTTGTCTTGTAGTCATGTCTTACCAATGAAAATCGCTAAAAAAAGTCTTATTTGTTTTGTAAATCGTGGTATTTCTCACTCATATTGGACTACAAAAACTCAGTAACACACATTAGCTGTAATAATTCAAATAGTACATTTTTTTCAACGATTAATGTTCTATCTTTTAGCATGGAAAAACTCTTCGTATTGTTGAAGCATAATCCTAATAAACATTTATAATACGATTTTCGATTATTTTTTTGATAGTAAGTTGATATTGACTAACTTTTTGACTTCAGTAGCTCGATCTTCTCATGGACGCTCTTTTAAATAATTATAAACATACAAGAAAAACTTGATTAGCACTTTCACTTAACATATTATCATCTGGTGAATCAACAGGTGTTTGTACAGTAAATTTTGTATCAAATTGACTAACATCATCATCACTTTTAAGAATTGGTTTATATGGAGGTTCATAACGTTTTGCATAAACATCACTCCAATTTAAATGATCAAAAAATGCATGAGTCTTTAAAAAAAAAAATATATATATATATAAATTCAAAGAATAATTGAAAAAGAAAATATATATTTTATTACTTTAATTGCTTCAGCATCTTCAAGTCCACTACCAAGTCGATGACTGACTTGTCGACGAAGTAACTAAAATATTAAAAAGAAATTTGTTTTTTTAATGTTGTTCGATTATCGCACGATGAAAATACTATTGAAATTCTATCGTCTCAATTCGAACTTAAAATTAATTTTTGCTTATTTTATATTTGAATTCTTATTTCAAATTTTTCAAATAAGAATTTTTTTTTAATTTAAAAAGCAATAGACAATATCAAGAACTTTACGAATTCTTTTTTTTTTGTTTCATTTATTTTATAAAATAAAATTCTAAAATCTAATTTATTAATCTTCCTACATGCCAAAAAATATTAATCATAATACTTACATTACGAATTAGTTCTCTTCCATCAATACTTAAATATGCAGGTAAAACTAATTTTCCTTTTATTATTTTGTCCATTGTTTGTCGACGATCATCGGCTGTGAATGGTGGCTGAATCAAATGTAACAAAATATTGAATGGTACTATTGGAGAGAGAAAAAAAAATTCAGCGACATACAGCACCCGTTAGCATATCGTACATCAATGCACCAAATGACCACCTAATTAATAGGAAAAGAAAAAAATTATTGTTTTTCTTTTTTTTTTTGTTTTAATTAAATACAAACCAATCAACAGCTTTGCCATGACCAGATCGAGTTAAAATTTCTGGTGCCATATATTCAATTGTACCACAAAATGTATTTGTTTGTCCACCATGATAGATAGATTCTTTACATAGACCGAAATCAGTTAATTTTACATGACCTAAATTAAGATTGGATGATGAAAAAAACAAAATATTGTATAAGAAATACCTTGACCGTCAAGTAGAATATTTTCTGGTTTAAGATCTTAAATATAATGAAAAGTTTAGACATACATTTATATATATATATATTTAAAAATTCTTCACCTCTAAAAATCAAATATTTATTTAGAAATGAAAATTATAAAATAAAGACAGACCTATAAATAATTCCTTCTTTATGTAAATGTTCAATTCCAAGTAATATTTCAGATAAATAAAAACTAGAAAACAAGAAAATATAATTGATTTTTTTTTTGTAAATTATGTTTTTAATTTAATGAAATAAATAGAAAACATTTTATTATACGAAATTTCTTAGTCTAATCTTTTATTTACATAGATGAAATAAAACAAAAAAAAACATATTTTTAGAATGTTAGATTAGAATTGAGAGACTGCGTAATTGTGAAACATAAAGCATATATAAAATTGCAACTTTTCGTCCGCGAAATCCATATATTACTTCATTTCATGATGAAAAGTAAACATTACTTATATAAAATCTCTAGGCGGATCAGAGATATTTTGATTTTTACTTCTTCTTCACTATTAAACATCATAATAGACAGAAAAAAAAAGCGTACGTTTCATTAGAAAACGACCAGAAATCAATGACCTTTATTCTCATTGTTTTAGTCCATCAATATGAGCTTTCATTTTAATGTAAATTATAATCTTTATCAGATCTATCTAACATTTATTTGATAGCGTGACGATCTTTTTTTTTTTTATTGTTATTTCTATTCTCTCCATAAACAACTGACAACATTTATCATTCTTTCTATCCAATTATAAATTCACCTTGACATTTTTGCAGAAGAAAAAAAATTCTATGTTTTTTTTTTTCTAATCTCTAAATTATAAAATTCTTACCAAGCCATATCATCCGAAAAGATTCCTTCACGTTCTAATTGCATAAATAATTCTCCGCCTGATAAATATTCTAATATTAAATATAATTTTCCACCTGTTTGAAATGCATACATAAGATCAACAATAAATGGACACTGAAATAATATTTTTATCGATACAAAAAGCAAAAACAAAAAATCATTTAAAAGAAAAATTACTTTAACACATTCAAGAATATTTCTTTCAGCTTTTGTATGTGCAGTATCTTTTGCATTTCGAACAATTCTACAGAAAAAAAAAAACACATATGAAAATATATCTAACAAAAGATTAATTAACATACGTAGCTTTTTTTAAAACTTTCATAGCAAATATTTCACCTTGATGACTACCAAATAATTTTCTTACTTGAAAAACTTTTCCATATCCACCTTTGCCTAGAACTTTTAATAATTGAAAATCATGTGGTGAAATTTTTTCTCCACGTGGATTAACTGTTCTTTCAGTTATTTGTACTGTTTCAATTTCACTAAAAATAAACATTTTATAAAAAGTTATTTTTTTTTTTTTGTTTTCTTAGTAGTTTTACTTTATTTGTGACGGGTCAGCACCAGTATCATTATCAATAAAACGATTATCATCATCATCATCATTATTATCAATTGATGGATGTCGATTTTCATTCATTTCTAATGAAAATAATGGCTCGTCTGCCATAATGAATTTTAATAAAATAAAGAATCAGGTTTTTTTTTGCTATATGTATATTATTTTTTTTGTTTTTTGCTTCTTTTCAACGCATATTTAAGCTTGTCTATCTGGAATTCGAATGTCTTGATATTTTATAGAAGAAGAGATAATGGACTTTTTTTTTCTATTGGTTATATATATGATCAATCAAAATTGACATGTCAATTTTATGTATATGTAACAAGCTTGAATTGTTGTCATGACATTTTATTTTAAAATGGTAGAATAGTTTTTTTCTTTATTTTGTAGTTTAATAAAATAGATCAATGTAAGTTTTATTGATATATATGAATATTTTAAAAAAATATGATATATATATATTGATTTTTATTACAGAATGTAATTGAAAGAAAGGTAATGTTAAGATATTTTCATGTTTAATGTATTCCATAATAACTAAGTTCTTCTACAAAAGTAAAACTTATCTCTTCTAAACACTTGTCATATCGTATAGAATAGAATAGTAAAGTAATAATAATTCCGATCATCTATAAAACTTGTAAGTAGCAAACTTATTAGACTTGTACTCATGATTCAATGATTTACATCTTAATCATTGATATACAGAACAAGCAGATAACATTATTGGAAAAAAAAGCAAACCACATCTCTTTTTATATCAATAGATGCAGAATTTTAAGCTCTACAAAATGAACAACTAGACATTTTTGTGCAAGTGGTTTTTAAAATGATGACATCTATTAAAAAAGGATCGACGACGATTTGTAGAAAAATCGGCCTAATTGCATTTTCAATTTTCTAAGTATTACATAGGGGGAGTTTTTTTCCTTTTCAAATTTTACATGTGTTCCTTGATGTATGCACTTATTACTTAATGTAAACTAAACGAGTTATATGCTGATAGATAGGCTGTGAAAAATACATCAAAAGCCTATATAACCATCACTTATCAAAAATATACTATTATCCATTTCAAAATATAATGTGCTCCACTGTTTTTTGAATAACTCGAGAACGCAAACAGCTAGAGATCTGCGGTTTTCACAAATCGAAAGAGGAGACTAGGGCACGTCTTTTTCTCTAATATTGTATAAGACGAAATCATTTTAAAATCAGTCATCTTTGCAAGACACCGAAAAAAATGTACAAAGACAATCTGTCATTCAGATGAAATTTTGACAATAAGTAAATTTGCTTAAAAATCAAAAGAGTTCCATGACTTTCATGCAAGTAAATAGACGACTTTATTTGCTCAACATTAGGATAGAGGAAGATAATCATTCCAATCAGATCTTGAATTATAGATCTGAAGTTCTTCTCTATAGATCACATGCCAAAATCAAAATTTCATCGGAATGATAGATCGCTTTCATGCACCTTTTGTCGTGTTTTGCAGAAATTACTGGTTTTAAAATGACTTTCGTCTTATACAATATTGGAGAAAAAGACGTGCCCCCCGTCTTCTCTTTCGATTGATGAAAACCACAGATCTCTAGCTGCTTGCGTTCTCAACTTATTGAAAAAACACTGGAGCACATTATATTTTGAAATGGACAATAGAAAAAAATCCTTGTTGAATTTTCTATTAAAAGATGATACTAACATCTGACATAAACTGTTTTATGCACTAAAGTAGAGTTCGCTAACTTTGAATTCTATATCAATCGATAGAGTTTTCCATGAGCTCATAACTTGTCAGAAAAAAAAAACTTGCGAACATGTTTGGACGCAAAAGAGTTTTGTTCGTATAGGGAAAATCGACATTTTTGGGCCGACATTCAACGATTTCAGATGTAATAATTACCTTTTCAGTCAAAAACGATAGCATATTCGGAATCAACACAATAAACGGCTTCGACCTATGTGTTTCAAAGTTTTCTGATACTTTTGATTTTTCAACTCATTTTTAAGGTAGTTCTGAGGGAGGGAACCAGGGCTCTAATTTTGACTGAAAATCTAAGTCATCAGAAAACTTTGAAACACATATAAATCGATGGCATTTTTCGAATATGCTATCGATTTTAATTGAAAATATGATTATTACGACAAAAAGCGCCAAACAATGTCGTTTTTTGCTTATCTGAACAAAATTTTCTTACAATAAACCCATGGAAAAACTCTATTTTAGTGTATAAAGCAGTTTATGTCAGAAGTCAGCATTATATTTTAATAGTATTCACCAACGATATTTTTTATCAATGATTTGTTATATAGATTTTCGAAGTACTTTTCATACCCTATCTATTAGTATATATAACTCGTTTAATTTGTATTAGATAACAAATACATACATCAAGAAACACGTGTCAAATTTGATAATCGAAGATTGTCTATGTAGTACTGAGAAAATCGGGTTCTAAGCTTGTAAACATCTACCACAATCATTTTAAAAATATCAGATACAGTTTCTATCATTATCTACTTTATTTCGATACGAAAAGATAATTAAACCTCAAATGAACCGATTTTCCTACAAACCGTCATCCATCCTTAGGTATTGTGTTTCAAAAACAGATATAGTTCCGTACTTTATTTCACAAAGAAAAGTGGCATTAATTTTTCAATAAAATGCTGAATAAATTATTTTTTCGTAGTATCCAGTACCTTAAGCACTATAAGGAAAGAATAAATGCTCAATTTAAAAGAAATATAATAATAAAAACCTACGCAAAACTCTTTATCATTTAACATCAGAATAAAACTTTCTCACACATTTACTCGTGTATTTCTTAAGAAATAATACATATTTTCATAAATATCTTATTTATAACTATTCAATCATATTGAACGAACATCATGCAAACTGCATATATTATTAGGAAATTCATTTTGAATAATTGAGAATCATTTTTGGAAGAAAAGAAAAAGAATATTTGATTCACACTATATAAAACATTTCGAATAAGTTTTTCTAATAGGCAGTTTTACAAGATTGTAGCTTCCATAAAACAGTTCGTTTCACTATATCTATGACTAATTTTATTATCATTACTCTTGTAAGCAAGATCTTGGCCAAGATACAACGTACAGAAATATTAACAGATCTTAAATTAGATCTTTGGTACAGTTTTGCAAGATCTTAAGTTTAATATTTTTTTCACTTATCTGTGATACAGATAATTATATCTTGAGAATCAAGATTTTTAGTCAATATCTTGTTGTCTAGCCTTTATTTAATACAAAAAAAAATGTACATCTGAAAAATTCGTGTACGTTCAATTTCCATAGAAAGGTAGTAAAACAAAAACAAAAAAAAGAACTAAAATGATTATTCGAAGAAACGCTATAGTTTTTATAAATAATTAGTACAAGTTCAAAAATATGAAATTTTACAAAAATGAAAGCAAAATAAAATCTACAACTAAAATCATTGGTTTTATCGTTACTATCATTAGAAGTCGATCTTTCTTTAACAGCATCCGATAGCCATTGTAAAATTAAATCAATGATTATAATGTAAAAAACCTAGAATTATATATAAATCTAGAGAAAAAAAAACGAATTTTAGCATTTCTAATGTCTATACTGCTTATAACAATTACCATAGAAAAATTTTTATCGAAAAATTTATCTGAATTAAGTTTGTTTAACTTTCTTTTTCTTCTCTCACTATTCTTCATAACTTTAATTTCATTGATTGACAAATACCTTTTCTATTGCAAATTTATCATACATCTACAATACTACTAAGTTAATGTAATTGACTTCTGAAAATAAGTTACAAACAATTAAAATATTTTTCAATATATAAATAAATTAATAATGTCACTATTTATTTTATTCAAGATCTTAGATGCAGGATCATGATAAAGACTTTTACCCTAATCTTCAGATTATGACAGTAAAATTATTGAATATTATTCGAAGTTAGAAAAAATATACGAGTAATTATCAATATTTTACTATTGTATTCATGTTCAATCTATGAGCACTTTAAGTCATTTGATAGAAGAAACTGTATAGAATTTCATTATGTTATTTTCTTATTAGTATAATATTTATTTCTAGAACTTTTAGAATATAATTCTCAATGATATTCTGCATATTAATATGTACAGTACTAATGATTAGAATCGGCTATAATAATTTCTATTTGAGTAGTTAATTTTCTGTCTTTCTTTCTTCATGTGAAAGATCGTTAGGAACTTATTAATATGATATAAATATAATCTCTTCCATTAATATCTTATGAATTATTCAATTATGAACTATTCATAAATTTGTTAAAAACATTATGAATAGATTACTTCTAGACTTTGAATTTTTCTTTTTTCAATAGATAAAATGAATATTTTATTATGGTCGATTTCATTAGTAGATTTTTCATTAGTCAAATTTAGCGTTAAATCATCCATTTGTTAAGTTTTCTTTTTCTATAACAACACGATGTATTTCATCATGCAAACTCATTCCTCATGAATAGATAAAAAACAAAACATTGATGACCTATAGTGTTATGTCTGCTCTCATCAATAATATATTGATATAAAAGAATTAAAAAGATATTTCGATTCATTTAATGAATGTGTCTAATGAATAATAAAGAAAATATTCTTGATTATATTGAATATCTTAGTTTGATGAAAAACAAAAAAAAAAGGAAAACGCCTATCGACACCAATGAACTTTTGTTTTCTTCTAATGAAATCTAAATGTATAATAATAATAAACAAAATTATAAATGTAAATCATATAATTAAATAAATTCTTTAATAAAAATTAAGAGATAAATATACAATTAAAATAATGCATGTGTTTATGTCGAACAAGATAATTCAATAATATGAGACTATGGAAAAAAAATGACCTTACAATTTGAAATTTTTAAATTTAAAAAAAATAAATAATAATAATTTCTACAATTAACAGATTTATAATTGTAAAGAATTTCTGAGTATATTCAAAACATTTTAATATTTATTTATTCTTTGTCAATAAGATTTATCGTATTTTCATAGAGTAAAGTAGGTCATATCGTATTTTTTAAATACTAGAAAAAAAAGAAATTTATAATTCATTACATGATCATTCTTCTATTTATTAAAGTTATTGATAATATAAAGAAAAAACAATTTTAATTGTAAATAAGGATATCTTCGTAATATAAATATTTATATGTATATATATCTTTTTTTTTTCTTTGCGGTTTATTTTCAACTACGTTTTTGGATGAATAGAAGATTACTATTGTCAATATCACGAGTTGTTGTAAAAAAAAACTATTCAGCTTCTTTCTTATAGAATTCTACACGCGTATTATTAATTTTTATTTCAATTGTTAACTTTCTTTTTTTTAAAGATTTTATTATTAAATCTAAAAATCCTTTATAATATGAATAACATTTAAAGCTAATAAAAATTAAAAAAAAAAAAAGAATCAATTCTAGATGTACGATCGAGCACCACGTAATTTACACCTTGCAGTAGGCTGTACACCAGATCATGTTGGACCTGGCACCTATGATCATCGACGAAAAAAATTTCATGAAGGTTAATGAGATCTTTTTTGTTTTAAAAAGATTTATCTAAAGAAATTATATTTCATATAAACAGAAGGTTATGCTCCATTTTTATCACTGGCAAATCGTGGTGATGTATTTTCTAATGATGACAATCCTGGACCAGGTCATTATGATGTACGAAATGTTCAATCATTAACAATTAAAGTAAGATTTTTATTTAAAATGTTCTTGGAAAAATTTATTTTAATTCATTCTTTTCAAGTATATACTTAAATGAGAGACTTTGAGTTTAAGCAACTGTCATCAATATTTAAATATATAGTGTACTTGATCATACTTATTTTAATAGACTTTCTTTTATTTTTTTATTTTTGATAAAAGAGACAAGAAGAAAAAAAAATGAACTGATTTTTTTTTGTTTTTGTTTTTTCTATTCTGAGTCACATAAACGTTGAACTGCTTTAGCTCGAATTTTTGAACGTTTTTCATCATTTACATTCAATTGTAGATCATTGAGCATTTCTTCTGTTAGAGCATATGTTAAAGCAGAACAATCACGAAATGGTAAAAATAAATCTGGTGATTTATATAAATTAAAATATTTTTCAGTAAATCTTTCTAATTCATCATGTTTTTCAAATGACCAATCTGCATAATCATTTTCAATATTGCTAAATTTCATAAGAAATAATGCTTTATCATCATTACTAACATGATTACTTTCAAGTAACATAGTTTTTAAAAGTGATAAATTCCATTCAATTGAATAAGGTGGTTCTTGTGTTGGTGTATAAGCCACAGTAAAAAATAATTTAAGTGGATTAAGACGACGCATTACATTTGCTTTAGGTTTAATAAATATTGTTGTTGGTGATGATGAATTTTCATGTATACTAATTGGATTTCCATGAATATATGTAACAAAGAAATATAATACTAATGAAACCATTATAGTTGATTTGAGCATTATTATTTTAAATGATTGAACCAATAATTTTCTTCTTTATTTCTATGTTAACAATACTTGCAACTGAAAGATATGTGAACACAGAATGAATATAAGTTGTTCTTAAGAATTCTATGTCTTGTGCGAAAAAAAAGAAAAAGAAAATAGAAATAGAGAGATAGAAAGAAAGAAAAAAAATGATATATTTGTTCTTAGATGTCCTATAAAAAAGAAAAAAAAAAAACGTTGACAGATAAATTATTATTATTATTAGATAAAAATATATTAAAGCTAAAGTTAACACATATCACAATACAATTTTTCTTAATTTTTGTTTAAAACTATATTGATTTACATGAAATAAAAGTTAGATTGAAATATATTCACTTTTGTATATATTATCAATGAGCTCAAATAATTTTACACTTGACTTATTTCGATATGCACTACTACTCTAGATGCATGAATGCACATAATTTTAACAATATAATCATTTCTGGAAATTAGTACAAGTAGTAATAACAGTTCGAAGAAATATTCTATGATGATAATAAACAACAAGTTTTTACAAGTTAGAAAATAATAATATAATCAAATTAATAGAGAGATGTACTTATTATGTCGAATTTGAAAAGAGAAATGACCGTGAAATAGTGACACTCGTTTTATTTGACATCTTTCCACAACAAATTATTCCATTTATACATAGAACATATGTTTATATAGTAGGATAGATAGACAATGAATGTTAATCAAGTGTAACGGTCAAGAGATAGATGAAGATGATACATTTCGTTATACTTAGTAAAGTTCTTTTTCAGATTAAAATATTAATAGAATTTTGTTGTTTAATATATAAAATTTATATAAATTTTTGTTCTGTTTTTTTTTTCTATCTTTAATCCAGATCATATATCTAAGATGGTAATAAAAAAAGCCAAAAAAGCTTTGTGATTCAGCTACTTCTTCTTATAACTTCTATGATTATATACTTTAAAATAATTTAAAATAATGATAATAAATTTATCACGTTTTATCTGAATAGGGAGGAAGTACATTAGCTAATAGAGCAAGTCGTTTCGAACAAAAACTATCTGAAGAAACACCAGGTATGACAAAATAGACAATATATAACAAAAAACCAATTATTATGATATTCTAGGACCTGGTACATATGAATTACGTAAAACTCAATCAGCCCGTTCAACTGTAACTGATATTGTCAAAGTAAGTTTTGTTTTGTTTTGTTTTTTCTATTCAAAGCTTGATTCTTTATTTGATTGATTATTTTATAGCATCCACGTCCTAATGCATTTAAATATAATCGTAAATCTCTTCCACCATCGATTCCTGATCCAAAATTTGCTTATGGTTTTGAAGAAGATGCTGGAGGTACACTTGTACCACAACAACCACCAACAAGAGATGGTTCTATAGGTCCAGCTTTTTATAGTCCACCGGCTGCTGTTCGTTAGATTTTTTTTTTATTAAAAATAAAGTCTAATTTATAATAATAATAAAAAAATATTTCTTATTTTAAAATAGGTTGAAATTGATGCATCGAAATTATATCATGGTGTTCATTTTGGAAAATATTCTGGTAAACGTACAGATTTTTCTGGTAAAACAGGTCCTGGTCCAGGTGAATATGATCCAAATGATCCAATTAAACTTGAAATTCATCATATTAATATGAAAACATGGGATAAACGACCTGAATTACAAGTTGCAAGATATCCTGATAATTTACTTAAAACAGCTACTAAAGAAGTAATTTTTAATAAGAAACAATCTTGATAAATACTCATTTTTGTTTTTTTTTTGTTTTGTCTATTTTAATTATAGAGTATTCCAGGACCAGGTCAATACACAATAAAACGTGAACTTGATCCTGAACCACCAAAAGGTGATGTAATTGGACTTGAATTTGAACGACCAGGATTTGGTTCTCAAACTGAAGTAAATTTTTCTTAATATAATTTTCAATACACAAAAAAACAAAACAAAATCAAATTATTTATTTTTTGTTCTTAGCGATTTAATCCTCTTAAATCAGTAGTACCAGGTCCAGCAACATATAATGATAAAGTAATGACAGCATTTAATGCTATTCAATCAAAACCAACAAGTCTTAAACGAAATCCATTTAATCAAACATCAGCAAGATTTATTGGTCTTGATTATAAAGTAAGAAGTGCTCCAGGTCCTGGTCAATATCGTATACCTGGTTTTGCTGATGAAAATTTACGAAAAGCTGTTGTTGAAGGTGGTAAAAAACCACCATTCAATGTAGCTTCTATAAGAAGATTAAATATGACACGTAAAGATGAATATAATACTCCTGGTATATATTAAGAATTTGTTTTCTTTTATTATAAATTAATGATTTACTATATTTATCTTCTTTTTTTAAATAGGTCCAAGTAGTTATGATATTAAACCTAAATCATATAAATCAAAAACAGAACATCCAACAGCAAATTTTATTTCAATTACAGTACGAGAAGCTGTTGTTGAAGTAAATTAAATTTATTAAATTTTGTTCTTTTTTTTTTGTTTTTGTTTTTATTAGTATTAATTTTCTTTTTCTATTTTTGTTAAGGATATTCCAGGTCCAACAGCTTATGATGTTTCACGTGCTTATCAAGCGCTTACATCTCAACATCGACAACCACCACGTTCTAAAAATGCTCGTAGACGGCATGGTCAATTTTTAAGTGCAGCTAAACGTACATTTGCTGGTGATGCAGCATTTGATACACCTGGTCCAGGTGCTTATGATGGATTTATTAATGAACGTGCACGAGGTTTTGCACCTATACGTGATTCTCGTTTTCGTTATGAAACTTCAAAATTACCAGGTCCTGCTGATTATGAAGTATAAAAAAAACAAGATAAACTTTAATTTTCTTTATGTTCAAGTCATTTCTTTTATTTTTCTTAGTTATCACCACTTCTTCAAGATACTGTTCTTCGTGGTACATTTAATTCAACGTTAAATAATCCTATTTTGGTAAAACTACAAAATCGTGCTTTACGTGAAGAAAAATTAGCAGCTGCAGCCTTAAGTTCTGCTGCAATTACACAACCAATAGACACTACTGGAACTTCTGGAGAAGTAGCTATTCACACTTGAGATAAGAATCAACGAGCACTTACATTTTTTTTCTTTCTTTCTTTCTTTCTACTTTTATATTCGTGTATACAATTAATAAATGAAACAACGAAAAAGTCTTTTTTTTTTAAAGATTAATAAATATTTCAAAAAGGAAATATCATCAACACGTATATTTCAATTCACTCGTAATTAAGTCAACCCTTAGATTATGATTAAGAATGTATTGTAATTCTTGTTCTTTTCTTTTTCTTTTTCTTTTTATAAAGATCGTTGATTATTTAGTATAAAATTTATGATGAAACACGATTTTAAATAATAAAAATATGACCCACATTGCAATTATCGATATGTAAAGATAATCATCGACTATAATTATAATAAACATTTATTAATACTACGTATTATACGTGCATAGTTGTCATAGTTAGACAAATTCTTATAGTAAAAAGTCAAATTTAAAAGGTGACATACAAAAAATATGATACTCTTAGTATATTTGAAACAGTTTGACCTTCTTTTCATCTATTTTTAAATGATTTATCTTTCAATTCTTTATAAGACTATATATTCTCATTGTCTTGATTTTCAACAACAATTTTTTTTTCTCAATTTGCTTTACTATATATTTAAATCCTTCAATTAATAGATTTTCTTTTCTATTTTAACTTCGCTTCGATTCATAATAGAAAACTAATCATCTTATATACATATATATATACAGGGTAGGTCAAAAAAGTTACTGGACAATCTTTAATTTCGAATAACTTTTGATAGGATCAAGATAAAAAGCTACGACCTTCACCATTCAAAACAAAGTCTGTTACTATGAAGTTCTATGTATTATTCAACAATACAGATTGTTGACCTAATAATCAGTTAGTGATCTTTAGCAAGATTTTGATAACTCTATGAAAAGAATGTAGAAGTTCAATTCAACGAAGCGGCTTCGATTCGTGTACTCACAATTTATGCTAACGCCAACAACCGAATCTATTATCTTCTTCTAATAGAGAGTTTTAGATGCAATACTAGAGAGCAACAATGACGAGCATGATTCATAGATGCACGATTCTAACGTACCCTTGAAAATTGAACTTCAATGTAAGTTTCATAGAGCTACTAGTATTTTACTGAAAACCACTGACTGATTACCATGGCGACAAGCAGCACTATTGAATAGTACATGAAACTATGTAGTAATAGAGCCTCTTTTGAATGGCGAAAGCCACAGCTTTTTATCTTGATTCTATCAAACGTTATTCGAAATTAAAGACTGCCTAGTAACTTGTAGCCCATCCTGTATAGTATATTTCAATAGGTTCAAATCTAAGTTATTAAAAAGTCAATGTGGTTAAATAATGAATGATGTGAAACAATGAGTTTAGGACATTTGCTCGCTAGAGCACTTACTCGTAAAAATCCTTTGAAATAAATACCGGGTGAGCCAAAAGTAAGGAAACACAGAAAAAATTGAATATCTTCATTACGGCTTGAGCAAAAGAGCTAATTTTTTTTTAAATCAATGATAGAAACATGTTCAAGCTTTATATCTACAAAGACATGCCTAACGAGATCCTTTGTTAAGTATCACTATTGATCTTAAGAAAAAAATTTTACCTTTTTATAGATAGAAAATAAAATAATATACTTAACAAAGGATCTCTCTAGGCATGTTTTTATGGATATAAAGTTTGAACGTGCTTCTATCATTGATAAAAAAAATTAGCTCGTTTGCTCAAGCCGTAATGGAGATATTCAATTTTTCCTGTGTCTCCTTACTTTTGGCCTACTTGGTATATGTATGAGATATATTAACAATATCCTTTAATACTAATAACAATAATAGAAAACAAACATAACACTCTACAAAGATAATAAACGTCCGATGTATTTCAACTGATCCTTGATATCTACATGTGGATCTTGAATTAAATTGTGTAATCATTAGTTTAAGAATTGGTTTTTTCGTTTTGATGGTTGACTATCAGACATAGCATTAATGATATCCGAATATATATATTATTTTCTTCTTTGATTAATTTATCCAGAAATGTCCATAATATGGGATGTTTACATTGAAATGTACAGTTCAATTTTTGATGCCATGGTTCCAGGTTGTTATCTGTTCGATGTATATAATCTTTCACACGCGCTGCCATATTCCACAGGTTAATGGGAAATGTTGCTGTTCGTCTTGAGCGTCCACAAAGACGATCGATACAGTCAATTTTGTTCTGAATTCTTTCATTTACGATTAAGCGATCATTTCATTCGAGAGCAAATGTCCGGATTCCGTTTATGTCTGACTGATCATGTTATTAAATGATGAAAATTTGAAATGAAACAAAAAAAAGTATATGGATTTTAGAAATAGAATATGCAATAATTAAGAAAAATTTTAATTTTGAAAGTTATGACAATCATTAGTTTCATCTGATAAAAAAAAATAATCATTTTAAATTATTCACACATATGGATATAGATAGATGTACTAAAATTGAAGTTTATCGTATACATGGATGAGTTTATTCAAAATAATTCATCCGAAAAAAGAAACCTCTTTAATAATCTTACGATATATATTATTATCTTGTTCATAAAAGAAATAAATAGTATTAATGGAATTGTATTTTTCTTTGTCTATATAATAGAAATCCATTTTGTCATGCCAATTCTTTATATTACAAGAAAAAAAAATCAAGTTCTTAAGTTCATTATTATCATAATCAAAAAATATATATAAATAATCTCTGTAAAAGGAAAAAAAAGAGTTTCTTTGTTCATTCTTTTTCATTTATTTGTGTATATATATTATGTCTTTGTAAATACGAATAAATTCACACATATACGTATTAATGTAAACAACATAAATAAACGTGAAAATAATCGAATGTGACAAAAAACATAAAATAAAATGAGAAAAACAAAAAAAGAAAAATCGTTGATCATATATAAATGACTATTCTCTATTTTTATTTTTATTTTTTATTTTTATTTTTGTAATACAATAGAAAAAATAAAAATATATCAGACTGATTTATATCATAAATGAATAAAGAATTTTTATTTTTTACGGAAGCCATTCAGATGGTGGTGGAGGTAAATTTGATGATGATGGTGGTGGTGAATATGTACCATTTGATCCTGAAGAATATACATCAGGTACACAAAATGATATTAATGGTGAACGATGAAACATACCATTTCCATCATCTAAAATATTTATCAATGTAATATTTAGTAAATCTTATGAAGGAAATACTTCAACTGATAAATCTACATTCATAGTTCATTTATGTTTATATAAAACATAGTTAATGGAAGTTTGAGTTTCTATAAGAATAAAATAATCTAAAATGGACTCTTAGTTTTTTTTTTGTTCTTGAAATGCTTGAAAAATTTCTATTAATTTAATCATGCTGAAAATGACAGACTGTCCTCAGTTTATTTTTGAAATGCAATCTAAAAAGCGTGTTAAAGTATAAGAGTAGAAACTTGAATCCATCTCGGGCGTCATAGACTTTATACTAATTAACGACTCATTAAACTATATGAACTACTTAATTGCATTTTTGAAGATGAATGGTAAAGAAATGTGTCTCAAAATAGATAGAATAAAATAATTTTCTTATGATCATCAGTAGCAACTACATCCTATTTTTACATTTTAATTATGCATGAATTGCACTAATAGCTTTGTTTGGTTTTTTTTATATATCTCGAATAGAATTCTGATAGTTAGTATATTTGATAAATTTGAATTAATTTCATATATTCTTACCATTTCTAGATTTTTCAAAAGTACATAATGTTTGATAAACCGGTAATATATCTTTTGATTTATTTTGATTTTCATAAAATTTTGTTGACCAAAAATAATATTGTTTTGTTTTAATTATTTTACGATTATGAGATATTAATTGTTGTTGTTGTTGTTGTTGTTGTTGTGATCGTATATAATTCATTGTTTCATAAGATGAATTATTTGAATCATGTTGAATTGAATACATCTTTTAAAATAACAAAATAAAAACATAAGATTTTTAAAAAGATCAATATGATTTCTATTTTATTTCTCGTATGTTATATGATAAATGTTTTTATAAAAATATGTATATGAACAAAAAAGAAATTACAAATAAAAAAAAAAAAGAAAAAAAAAAACTCATCACAGGGTCATTAACTCTTCAACAGGAGCTGTCGTCGAAGATGATGGTATCGAATTTGAAATGGCATTTATAACTGGAACATTTGTAGATATAGTTGATGATGATGATGATGATGATGAAACAGGTATTGATAATAATTCTGTATTATTAACATTTAATGCATCTTGTACATCACTTCGAAATTGTGTCATATTTTGTGTAAAATTTTCTTTATTAGATTCTTTTAATGTACGATCAATACCTGTCATTAAATTATCTAATGCTGTTGATAAAATAGCTTGTTTAGCTTGTGTATGACCATATAATAATTGTTGTTTAATATCAGTAAAAAATTTATTTTCATTTAATAATATAAGACCAAGAAGAGGTTTTGATACAGTATAAATATTTCTTAAGAAAAAAACAGAACAATTATTTTTATTCGTTTTAGAAAGTTATGATCTAAATTTTTTACATTTCAATATTAATAACTTACTTGCATTCTGAATATATAATACCATTAAGTAAATTAATAAGTATTTGTCGAAATAAATTTTCATATTCATGAATATTATTCATTAAATTAGTTGATGCTAATTGTTTTTTAACTAAACGAAAAACATATGATAATAATGTATCTAAATAAACACAACATGAATTTTGTATTATTTGTTCTGATGATAAAAATCCTTCATTTATTGTTTCAAGTATATAACCAAATAATGGTCGAGATAAATTAGCTAAATAATCAATTTTAACAATAGAAAATGTTTCAATTAATGAAAAATAAGCTAATGTTAATTTTGGATATGAAAATAAATGTGTTATTTTAATTGTTGTTAATATTGAAATAAATACTTGTAAAAAATTATCAAAACATGGATCAGAATAAAGTTGAAATACACCAAAATTAACATAATTACCTAGATAAAAAAATAAAAATAAAATAATTTATTTAAGCTCTCGCGCACACACACTTAAATCGTATAAAATTTTTAACTCCATCAGAGATGTCCATGGCGGTAGCAGCAGATTTTAGCCGCGATGGACATCTCTGAATTCTATATCATAATTTATCAATTGAATACCCTGAAAATTTCAGGTAAAAAGAATATTTCCTTCTTGAAATATTATAGTCTCATAAATCACTCGTATAAATCACTTTGAACAAGTAAAATCTTACTTTTGTGAGGTTCACCGCACTTTCTGAAGACATCAAAGAAACTCTTGAAATGCATAGTATTGAAGTCTAATATTTCCTCTACAAGATGATGCAAGAATGGCGTATTTAGATCGATCCGCTGAGAAATAGGAGACTTATGATGGACGATCATTTTGCCTGAAAATTCGAAAGTCGAAAAAATTATGATTTTTAAAAACCCTTTGTTGCTCCTAAAGCATTTACAGGAAAGATGATTCAAATATACCGTTTTGTAGAGAATTAATTTCTGTATCTTTCAGTATACTCAATAAAATTTTATAGAACGCCTGAAACAAATTTCATGTGTTTTTGTCGTCCAAAGGAAATTTTTGAGTCTTTTAAAGATTTATAGAAAAATTCTGATTCTAGCCCACTACTTCTCACTCCTTTCCATTGCATTTAAATGCGCGAAAAACAGATAAATATCTTGTGTCAAAACTTTCCGACCACCCGTTATTTGGAATCAGCATGTGAAAGTATTTCGAATGATGTAATGCTAAAGACATTTTCTTGACAAAAAAAAAATGTGGGTAAGAATTCCTTTCAAGTTTTTTTTTTTCGTTCACAACTGCATTCTTTTCTTACCCATTAAACATGTTTGAAGTATTCTTAAACAAGTTATAATTGGTTTAAGTTTAGATTTATAAAATAAATCTCCATCATTTTCAGATATTGTTGTAGTAACATGTAAAATTGTTTTTGTTTGAAATATATAAAGTAAATTTGATGTTTCACGAAATAATAAATAAGCACTTGGTTTTGTTGAATCAAATATTAAACGTTCTTGACGATTTGATGTTAATTCATGAAAAAATTTTAATAATGGATTATAAACATCTTTTCGATCATAAAATACATATAAAGCTTTAAGAAATAATGGTAAATAAGATGGATATAACCAATCAAAAAATGATGTATATGCTTGTTTAGATAATAATGAACTACATAAACCACGAAGATCACGACTTATACCAATAATAAGAGATTGAATTTCATCTAATGATGCTAATGTTGGACTAAAATATTATGAAAAAAAAAATATATATATGAAATCTTATCGTGCAATTCGGGAATATTCATAAGAATTTTTTCCAAGAAGAAAGGAAATGTCATTACAGTGAAAACATTGTTTTTGTGCTTGTGAAAAATGTTCAGTCGGTACCTCTTCCAAGTAACTATTAAGAATTTCTTTTTTGGGTTTTTAATGTTTTCCAACGTCGAATAAACCCAAGACGCAGCCGATCGTATTCTATGAGATTCGACAAATCCACGAAAATCTGAATGACAGCGCTAGGACAATGCGTCATATGACATGTATCCTGAAGGAACATCAAAAGTGGATGGATAAGGGCATCAGCAAGATCCTCTCATTAACTTTCCTAAAAATCCGAAATTCTATAAAAAGTTGATATACTCTGTACTACTCATTAAACCTCGAAACGGACCGCCCGGCTCGACGATTTTATCCATTTTTGGCATAAATTTTTCTGAGCTTTGGCTTATCCCTGAGAAAGAATACGGGGAAGCTTCTCCACGCTACTCCCCTTGATCATCACTCTTTGTAAACGATGTTTCTTTCGCGGACCCGGGCAGGCCATAAAAAAGTGGTCCGATTTCGAGGTCTGGTGTTCACCAGGACGACATAGTGTTGAGTAGTGTACTTTAATCCTATTAGACTATAAAACTGTAGTTTGATCTGAATGCATCCTATTGATAAGTAATTTTTGAATGGAAATGCATACCGCTAAGCACTATGAAGTGTACCAATATAAGACTTTTTATGAGAGAAATTAGGATTGAACTCCTGGTCGATTGATTCATCTGAATAGTTGTTTTCTTTATTTTGAACAATTAACTTTCTTACTTAAATTGAGTCATAGCTGCAAATTGTCCAGGATTTAATAATGAAAAATCTGGAAATTCTTTAAATATTTGTACTAATCTTGTACAATGATTTGTAAATGGTGTCATAAATGCTTCTATACGTTCATCATCATCATCATCATAACGAAATTCATACATTAACATACGTCCAACAGCTGAATAAAATGTTGTTCGTAAACGTGACCAACTACTTATAGTTAAATTTCTATTATGTGTATGATTTATTGTTGATGTTGGATGAAGAAATGGAAATAAATCTTGTGTATGATTATTTATAAAATATTGTATTGGATCAAGTTTAACTAATTTACGTACACTTTGATAACCATGTGTTAAATCACTAAAACATCCAACAGTTCGTTGAATTAATTTATCTGTTATTATTGAATATTGCAAATTCGTAAAAAGTTTTTTAACAAATATTGATAATAATTGTTCTTCATCAGCAATACCTAAATAATAAAATAATTTGTTTTTATATTATATTTTATATTAATCCAAAGATTGAGCCCGTGCATGCTGCACGGATGCTTTTTTCCGGGAAAATTTCACATCTGTCCTTTAGCCTTGCTTCGGTAATAGAGAATCAGACAGTTCACATTATATATATCGAGAGACCTTATAGCTTTATACCCTTGAAGTCTTATAACCTTATTCCGTTATTCCTTTATCTCTTATATTCCATGCACCCTCATCTCCTTATACTCTTTTAGGTTTATCTCATATGTCCCTGTAGCCTTAGCCTCTTATCCCTTTACCCTTATATCCTTATCTCCTACCCCTTATAGCCCTTGAAGATCTAAGGGTACCCTCGTATAGCAGCTTTTGAGGACCTATGGGTATCCCAATATGGCAGCACTTATAGCCTTCCCGTATAACCTTATTTGACTTTTGACCTGGGCACAGAAACATCAGACAGACACTGAACATTATATATATAGATTATTAGTTGATGACAAATAGAAACCAATAAGTTACATGAGAAAAGATTTGAAATCTTAATTGAAACTTTTGAATCTTGAAGAAATACTCATAATACCGTAGAAAAAAAGCACCCAAAAAAATGTATAGATATAATTTTTTTAATTTTCATTCTAGTATGGATTAATAAAAATCCCTCGAAATGTACACCTGGATTTTGTTTTTTTTCCTAAAATAAACAAATATCGAAAAAGAAAAATTCAAGGTGAAAAAAGAATAAAGTCATAATAGTAGACTTCAACGACTATACATATACTTAACCAAGGTTTTGTTTTTTTATAGGTTATGAAATTTTACTTTCGAAAGATTGATCGATTTCTGTATGATATTTTTGTACCAATCTTTGTCTCTTTCTTTTAGCAAGTCAATACATATCGAATCATTCTTTTTTTTTTTTTTTGAACTACATTAATACTTTTCTAATATAAATATTATAAAATTTCGTTTCTAGTGAACAGATTTAACTATATTAGTTTTTTTGTTTCAAATCTTTACCAAGATGTTTAAAAAGAACTTGATAAACTTTATTTGATCGTCCATAATCACCAATATATTGTCGACGAAATTGTTCAAAAAAGAAAAGTATAGCTAATTCTAATCTTTCTGAATAAGGTGTTGAATTAATTTTATCTGTTGTTGTTGTTGTTGTTATTGCTATATTAATTGGTTTTTGATTATTTTCATCTGATGTTTTTTGTTGTATATATGTCATTAATTGTAATACACGTACAACTAATTCACCATCAAATAAATCTTGATCATCACTTGATATTGATAATGATGATAATGTTATACC